ATGAATAAATAGTATCCTATGTCCGTCCCCTGGCTCTAAGCTACCTCCTCAACAATTTTCAGCCATATCAGTAAAGCCGTTTTGGCGAATTCCGCTAGCCCGTTTGTCACATTGTAATATAAAAATTATTCTATTTAAAAGTCACAATGCTGTATTAAAAATGGAAATTGCATTAATTAAAAATACACTTCAAAATTAATTACAGTGCTTTCTAGGTCAGGTTTAAGAGGCAACGAGTGGTAGGGGTTGAGGGGTGGATGGTGTACAGAATAGAGCTATAAATAGATTTTATCTTTAGCTGCAATTTTTATTTCTCTTTGTGTTTTTTGTCAAGGGACTTTCGTTCTTTTGAATATGGTTGTCCCATAATATTCTACTTACGATATAATTACAAACACAAGCTCGCTTTAAACAATTGTTGTACAATCGCATCCAAAATTGTTATTAAGACTAAAGACATAAATTCGAAAAAAAATGAATAAATAGTATCCTATGTCCGTCTCCTGGCTCTAAGCTACCTCCTCAACAATTTTCAGACATATCGGTAAAGCCGTTCTTCAGTTATAAATAGTGTAACTAACACCACATTCCTTTATATATATTTCTTTGATGTAGATTTAAGACTTTTATTCCTGATTGTACAGATGATAATAAATTGATATACAGAGTGTTCAATTTTTCAAAGATGGAATATTTGAATATATTTAACATTCACTAACTCGTCAAGATTTCAATGGATCAGCTATACGTCCCCACTAAGGGACTCGGAGCTTAACCTAAGTTGAGGGGTTACAATGGATATACGACTTAAAACGCTTGATATATGTTTTTCTAAATTAAGCCCCAAATATAAAGTTAGAAATTGTTCAGTTAAACACGTGTTTTAATTGCCAATAGCCTAATGGTTAAGGGTACGGATTTCCGATGACGTGGTCGAGACTTCGAATCCCAGCATTCGACTATTGTCGTAAACTATATAGTACAAGCATAGAGCTTAGTTGGAATGGTAAAATAAATATTAGTAAATTAAAAAATTTGATAATATTTAAAAAAAAAAAGTTTTGAACGCCGTTGAAAGATAGTCATAGTGGTTATATGTCCCACCATAAATTTACCACAGTATTTTTGATATATGTGTTTCATTATTGGTCAAAAACTCGCAAAACTACGCATAATATTGTTTTCAAAGTTATAAATTGTAACAAATCTACGCCGATGTTATATTTATAGTATAAAAAGGTTGATGTCTGTTTGAAATATTATCTATTTTTTTTATAATACGACCCTTAAGTATGTTTTTATTTATTTACAATGTCTCTTCCAGTGACCGTAGAGTAGAGGCCGGGCTGTGACCTACATAGAACGAGATCGATATTGCTACGCCGCTCTACTGACACGTAGCAGTGCTACGATGCTACGCGGCTACGGAACGACTAATTATATTTTGAAATTAATCTTAATATGGGTTAGGATTAAACACATCATAATACTAATTTTTACTAAAAAAAAAGTCTGATTTAGGCTTTAATATGTGAGATAACGCCATCTATTATCAGATTTTTATAACAATTTTTTTTAATTTTAAATTTAATTTAATAAACGCTTATTTTACAATATTTTTATTATAGAAGTAACTCGACGTGATGACGAGTCTATCGAGCGCTTGGTGGTGCAGGGGAAATTTGAGGGCAACAGACCACGAGGAAGATCGCCCATAAGGTGGACTAAAAAAGGCAGCGACTAAAGAGGAGTGGCGGCGCCTGCTAAAGCGGGTCACTGATACTTGATGACCACGACCAGTCTGACAAGACTGTAACGACGAAGAAGAATAGAAGAACTCGAATAATCGAAATTACTTATCGATTTAAAAATCTTAGATTTTAGAATCTTAAAAACTTGTCTTAAAACATGTTGTCTCTGTTATATCAAAGAGAATGAAAGTGATGACAATATGTCTTCCTATATATGTCACAACAGTTGAATTTACGGGTAACAATATAGAGCTACAATTCGTTTATACATCACTAGCTGTAGCCCGCGACTCCGTCCGCGCGATAAAAATAGATATTCGCCGATTCTCAGACCTAGTTAATATGCTCACAAAATTTCATGAGAATCGGTCAAGCCGTTTCGGAGGAGTATGGGAACGAAAATTGTAACACGAGAATTTTATATATAAGATTTTTACGTAGGTATACTTTAGGCTATGTAAGCGAAGAAAGTAAAAAAGTCCTAAATTGTCGTAACGCATTTTCAACTTAAACTCAAAATCTACTAAACTTCTAGTCAGTTTAAAAATTAATAAAAAAATGGGCCGTCTTGCAAGCAAAACCTTTCTATTAAAAAAAATCAAAATCGGAGCACCAGGGGCTGAGTTAAGCAATAACACAAATAAAAGAATAAACAAACATACAGACGTATGATAACCTCCTCCTTTGATGTAGTGAACATATAATTATGTAAATACTAATAACTTACTGCGACTTTGTTTATAAATAAACAGCTATCGACTACGACTCTGCGCGGAATTAAAAAAAAATATTTAATAGTCAATGTCTTCCAGACTATGTTCTACATCTATGCTAAATTTCATCGAGATGTGTTTAGCCGTTCTGTAGATACCTTTTAACAAACATCCATCCATTTAAACATTCGCATTTATGATATTAGTAAGATTTAATTGCAAAATTAAGAAACTCAGTTGCCTATGCTCTATTCCTGGTTGTAATCTGTGGCCTAAACATCATTACAAGAAAAAAAATAATTGCCATTCTTCTACACTTTTTGACTTATAAAAGAAAACTTATAAATACATAAACAAGGGCTTAACATTATGATAAAGGGATTAAGTAAATCCCAACAGATTTGTCTTTGACTATCATACCCAATGTTAACTACTCCAGAACAACATTACAGTGACTCGTGTTATATCCATCCTTTTTATTCTTTTGGACAACAATAGAAACAGCAATATGAATACATCTGAACCCGATGTATAGAACGACAAAATTGTACGTAACATCATCAGCTCACTATATGTCCCTACTGAGGGTAGAGTCTACCCTAAGTGAGAGTATGTGATAGTGAATGCTGGTCCAGTGCGAGACTTCACACATTTGACTTTCTCAGATATGTGCAGCATCACGATGTTTTCCTTTACCGTAACACATTGGTAGATAGCTTTTCGAAGCCAGGACCTATAGATTACAAGTCAACCCTGAGATACTGACGCTCCTACTGTATACTTAAGTCAAACAATAGCTCACTAGCTGATATTAATGTCAAAAAAGGGTCTTGACACACGGACAGACGGATAACAAAGTGATCATATAAGGGTTCCGTTTTTTCTTATGAGGTACGGAACCCTAAAAAGTGTCAATGGTAGATCTCATGAAAATATTTATTTGGTACACGAATATGCCTCGTCCGGTACAATACCACGACCATACAGAAGACACGCCTCAAGTGGAAGCAATTCCAACTACAGTCAGATGAGTGTGCGTCCCGGAGGACAAATTTTAATCCACATTCCCTTCCCATAAGTCTTATAAGGAAATGGGTAGGGGATTTTGGCAGAGGAATACTTAGGAGATGAATCCTTTTTCTGTGCATCCTCCGTTGATTAATGGTAGACAATGCATTTGCAATTGTCTATGGGTAGCCTTCATTTCGGTACTTTAGCGTATTCAGGTGGCCACTTGCTCGTTTCCCATCTAACAATATAAACAAGTATAAATAGCTGTCTCGCCATGTCTTTTCTGAACTAACCCTGATAGTAGCGAACACAAGACATTGACTTATGATTAACAAATCAAATAAATTTGACGGTCTATTTCATGGGTTTCCAAGATCAAAATCCTTGTTGAATATTTTCTCTGTTTCGTCAAATATAATGACAGGGATGTTTTTACAGATAATGGTTTCAGAAACCCGCAGTAAGTCATCTTAACTGTAAACTCTATAGAGTTGAGTGTAATTATATCAATTAACAAAATTAGAGTGTCTGTATGTACACTTAAACAAAATCATATTTCATTTTAACAATAATGTACATAACGAAACATATTTCTATGTCCATCTCTGTTTATTCAAACGGAATTAACGAGATGTCAATACGTTCCGGTTGAATGAGTGGAAAAACTAATTAAACTAACTAATATTCGACATATGATGAATACAAAACGGTATTAGTAATATGGAATTACAATTTTACTAATATTATAAATGCGAATGTATAGATAGATGTTTGTTAGATGATATATCTAGAACAGCTGTATGGATCTCGCTGAAATTTGTCATATATGTAGAACATAGTCTGGAAGACCAAATAGACTAATGATGTTTCTTTAATTATAAATTTATATTTCTTTTTTCCATATATCTCTACACTAACTGTTACCCGCGATACCGCGTCGAATTAAGAAAATCTTAATTAGTAGTCTATATGTTCTTCCAGATTATGTTCTACATATATGACAAATTTCAGCGAGATCTATGCAGCTGTTCTAGAGATATCATCTAACAAACATCTATCTATACATTCGCATTTATAATATTAGTAATAAGTAAGATTTTTCTATTCATAAAACGTATTAAAATCTTACAGACGTGTCAAATTGTAAGTTATTTAAGAATTACGCAATTATTTTTGATATGAAAATTATTAAGTCCTTAATTTACACTATATATCTAACATAACCTTTTTATTTATATATTAAAATGTTTAAAATACATTTCTTAATGTAAATTCTATTGAAAACGTATAAATATCATGAAGTTATACGTAATTTGTAAATTTTTAGGTTATACTTCACTACGTAACTTAGTATTAATAAGTAATATCACAAATTGTGCTGTAAAATATCATAAAAGATTGTTAAAAAGGAACGTTAAAGTTTAAAACAATCAAAAAATTATTGTGTAACGTCTTAAATACTTGAAAGCAAAACATTCTCAATGCACGTAAACAGTATGGCGATGTAATACAAAACATATGATACCTGATAAGATTCGTCTGGTTTGCCCGGGTAAGATGCGCTACGTCGATAGTCCGGAGGCCTAGGAGGTGCTGGAGCCCTACGCCATGGGGCGAAGGCAGAAGGTTGCGGGGGCTGCGGTGCTGGCCACCTGTACTGCGGGGCGCGGCGGAACGGCGCCCTATATTGTCTTTCATCGTCGACGCTTGGTGCGCCGGGATACTGTAACTCGCCCATATAATTAAGGCGTCCGACCTTCCCGACGGTCGGACGAATACTGGCGATAACACAGCCTATCGTCTATCGGGTCGATGTCAAATGCGCGCGCATATCGCTGTAGTGACGTTCCGTTTTCGGTGAAATTATTTCATGTTTTTTTTTTAGTCTTTAGCCGCAGAGTTACTTTTGGTATGTACGTAGTCTTTGCCTGTATGCGTCAAATTGTTGCCGCGCATTTTCCTACGCCATTTTGAAATGTTATTTTTTTCATTAATATTTACAATTAATTTTAGGTCAATTTGATAAGAGAAATTGATTTAACTTACTTATATTTCTTGTTTTTAGTTAGCATTTAAAAAGCAAAAGAAAAAACGCATTTAACTTAAAGTTATTATTGTTAATTATTGTATTTATTACTTATAACTTAAAAGAATATGTTCTGAGAAATATAATTGCTTGGAAAATCGTGAAAATGTCTCAAGCATGACATTTTCAACTTATTTCCAACTTAAAAAACAACTAGTGCCATCTGTTGATAAAATAACTCATTAAAATGTAACCTAAATATAGGATTTCAGATTTTGTCGCAAGATGGTGAAAAATTGCGGATGAATTTTTGAATACCAAACCTACAAAAAGAAAAAAACCCGATCTTTAGAGATAAATAGTTATTTTTATAGGAGAAAGGGGGCAAACGAGCGGTTAGAACACCGAGGTGATCACGACACCGATAGACATCTGCAACACCAGAGGAACAGCAGATGCGTTGCTGGCCTTTATAGAAATGCTCGCTTCTTGAAGGACCCTAAGTCGTATTGGTTTGGAAATACGCCGAGGACAGACCGTTCCACAACGCTACTGTGTGGAGGGAACCTAGCGGTCTCTTGTCGTCCGATGACGGAACTCGGTCGCAGGAATTGTTGCAAACTGTTCTTCAGAACACTCCCCATGGTGAATGCGGTATAAAAATGCAGAGGAAACGACCCTCCGGCCACGTTTTCAGAATTTATTTACATTTTTACGATAATTATTGTAGAAAGCTTAAAATGCGCAAAACCCTTGTTTTTTTTAAATAAAGACTATTAAATAATTTACATCTATTTGTAATTAAACCAAAAATGAAATAACAAAAAAACAATAACTAAATCAATCAAAAAGCAAATAAAAACGTTGAAATTTCTATTAGTGCTACGAAGCGTAGCGCGCTACGAATGCCTACGAAATATTTGACCTTACAATTTTTTGAATGTCTGAAAGAATGGCATGTTTTTTGTTATTTTATTACTTTTAATTTCTTTTAATTTTTATATATAACAAGCTTTATTGAGCTCGAGAATAAGAAGCCGGCTTTACCATGAGTATTACCAAATCTTACTAATATTATAAATGGGAATGTTTGGATAGATAAATACATTGATATTTGTTAGAAGTTATCTCCACAACTGCTGCATGGATTACGTTGAAATTTGTCATAAATATAGAACATAGTCTGGAAGAACACATAGACTATTAAAGAAGTTTTTTTAATTCCATTCGGACGGAGTCGCAGACGACAACTAGAGAGAGTGTAAGGGTTTTATTACTTAATTATATTTTTAGGATGCTAGAGTACAAAGTTTTTAAATGGATTATTCTATTCTTTATTATGTAATTGTAAGTCGACCTTTATGACACTAACAGCGCATTCAGGTGATAGTGTGGCATTGATTCAATGCGGATAGCGCAGTGGCCCGCGTTTGCTGCAAAACTGTGCTATTAGCCTCTACACACACTAAAGTGCTGATAATCAAACTTATTTCTCATGATACTTTTGAATATGTTAGCGGTTCTTGTCATCCCCATCGGTCGGCCAAGGTACCGCTGGCGAGACGCCGTAGAGCTGGATCTGCGGGAACTACAAGCGATGGACTGGCAGGAGAAGGCGTAAGACAGGCGACTTTGACGATCTCTTGTGTCGGAGGCCAAGACCCACTTTGGGTCGATGTGCCAGTGGAGTAAGAAAGTGGTTCTTGTGATATATGGTATGAAACAAACGACGGTTAGCTGGGGACTGATTTATTTTGCCAAATTAACAGGGTACGTAGACATCACCTACCTATTTTAACCATAATACATTACAGTTCTTAAACCCCCTTACTCTGCCATGGAACACAGGGGCTTCCAATTTTAAACTATTTAAAAAAGTTGTGAAGATTTATGACACATATATATATATATATATATATATATATTGATAACAACAGTTTTAACAGTGGTAGAGCCCGCTTTAACATGTTCGCACGAATGTCCCGGCTCGCTCAGTGAAATACCACGACCACACAGAAGACAGGCCTCAAGTGCGAAGCTATTCCAACTACAGTCTGATGAGTGTGCGTCCCGGAGGCCTAATTTAGTCCTCTTTCCCTCCCCACCCTTTTTCTTATAAGGAAAGGATGGGAAGTGGAAGTGGACTTTCCGGGTGAGAGGATGCATGGAAAGGGAAAATATTTTCTTTCTGTGCATCCTCTCCTCCGTCGGTTAACGGTAAGCAACGCAAGCAATTGCGTATGTCTATGGGCAACGGTCACTTCGCTATTTCAGCGATTTCAGGTGGCCGCTCGCTCGTATGCCACCTTATGATATAAAAATGATGATGAAAAGAGATGATGGAAGGTACATTAATCTGGTTAACAAATAACGATGAACAATTTAATCGAGTAATATGAATAAAAAGTCAATTTAAAATCACACTAATGTAGGAACACCTTAACATCGCCCTGCATTGTAACATTTAGGTTAACGAAATAGGTTAAAGAGTTCCGTAAAGTACGTAACGTTCATCAAAATATTAAATATCCGCAATGTAATAAAATATCTGCATTATTTAATTTGAAGTGTTCATACGTAGTCATATATTTTTTTATAAGAGAAGGGGGCAAACGCGCGGCGGGAACACCGAGATGATCAACGATACCCATGGACATCTGCAACACCAGAGGAACTGCAGATGCGTTGCCGGCCTTTAAGGAAATGGTATGCTCGCTTCTTGAAGGTCCCCAAGTCGTATTGGTTTGGAAATACCGCCGAGGACAGACCGTTCCACAACGCGGCTGTGCGAGGCAAGAAATTGTGCGAGTTAGTTATATTTAAGAATTTTTATTTAATAGCTGTCACCCGAGACTCTGTTCGTGCGGAATTAAAAAAAAATAATAAGTAGTCTATGTGTTCTTCCATAATATGTTCTACATCTATGACAAATTTCATCGAGATACATTCAGCCATTCTTAAGATACCTTCAAATAAACATCCATTTAAACTTACGCAATAATATTATTAAGATTAGTAAGAAGTAAGATAATTTAAAAAGTACATAATAAATACATTTACAAGTTTAGGATAGTTATTGCAGTTGTACACGACTTCATCCGCGAGGTATTAAAAACACTAATATAGGTTATGTCACCCGGGGATAGTGAAGCTTCCCAATAGAATATCTCAAATCGGTTTATTAGTTTCGGTGCCTTCAATACGCAAACAAAGAAAGAATCAAAACTTTCATCTTTATATTATTAGTATACTTGTAAAGATAACCCATTTTAATAATAATTATACTACTTTTTAACTATTATAATTAACTATCGCCATGTTTTTTTTACAATTTCACCTAAAATAACAATGAATTAAATTTTTACTTACCTCGATTTAATGTCATCATCATTTTCTTCTTGTCCTTGTTATAATTAACTGCTGTAGTTAAGTTTACCACATATTTACAGTAAGAAAACTTTAAAATAAAACTTTATAACAAAAATTATAACTTCGAAACGTTTTTTCCTGCAAGAAAATCAAAAAGTGTACAAAAAATGCAGGTCAGAACTTTTATAACCAATTTTTGAAAACACGCCATCTATCGGTAAACCTACTTTCTGATTTTGTAATATTTCACTAATTAAGATATAGATGGCGGTATTTCAACAATTTTCAATAATTTCATAATTTTCCAAATACTTTTTTAACTTCCATATAAACAACTAACTTTAGCCCGCGACTTCGATTGCGAGGAATTAAAAAAAATCTAGTAATAAGCCTATGTTATTCAGTGATATTATAGCTTTCTAAAGGCAAAGGAATGTCTATAATCAGTAGAGTTTATTCGTTTTATATTTCTGTAAATCTTTCTAATATAGAAAACTGAAACAATGATTTTATGTTTGTCTCCCAAATTTAAACCACTTGACAGATTGTAATGAAGCTTCGAAGGATATTTTTAAGAAGCCAGAGAAGATTTTGTATCGTATTTTTTTTATTTAGAATCTTTGCCTTAATTTTGATTTTGACACAGTAACTATGTTAGTTTAGTTATTACATTTAGTATAACATAAGCCATTTTATCTAACATGTTATAAAATAACTCGCCGATAACTTTAGCCTTATTATCAGACATTACCCAAACAAATTTATGGTTCTATGAGTTTAGTGATGTACAAAATATATCGATAATTAAAATAAACACTACAAACATTATTTATTTAAAGTCAAAGTGTAGTTACAATAAAATCATACATGGGCATGTACTATTTTATTTTATACAAGCTGTCAACCGCGACTCCATCCGCGCGGAATTTAAACAAAACTTAATTAGTAGCATATGTGTTCTTCCACGCTATGATCTACATTATACCAAATTTCATCGAGATCCGTTCAGCCGTTCTGGAGATACCTTCAAACAAACATCCATCCATCCATCCATTAGTAAGATTTAATAATTGAAATGTTCTTTATTTCTGTACATATTAAATACTTAAACTATTTTCAGACCACAAATACTTAAGCAAGTATCTACTAACGAAACTGTATACCTGACTGTGCCTTATCACTGGCTAAAGAAACAAAAATATATTGTTATATTTAATAATTGGAGTGATAATAAAAATTTCTTGTACAAAAAGATTTTTGTAGCACGGACACTCATATTATGTTAAAAGATAAAACTTTTATTTTACTATCGTATTATTAAAAATATCGATAAATAAAAAGACATGACTACTACATTATTAAAACAGCTGTTATCGATATAATGTTGTACTTCACTCTGCACTCGTGTCGGTTTTCTCGTAGTAACGTGACGTTTGTTAACAAACTGAAAAATGGATCAATTTGATCCAACTGGTATGTAAAATTAGTATTCAATTATTAGTGTAACTTAATCTTTAAATATTATTCAATAGTTTATTATAAGTTAACGAAATATCGAAATAAAATTAACTCACCAAATTAACGTAATTATTTGCAAGTGGTTGCAATGTCAAAGTGACATTTGTGTTGGCGGGAATTTGAACTAAACTCTAAAACAGTGCCTGATATCCCATATTGTCATTAAACTTTATAAATGGATAGGCGTTTGCTTGTAAATGACAATTTTTGCTTCGTTCCAATTTAAACGCACCTGTTGTTACTTGACAGTTAAATCTATTCATATTAATCCATAGTTCGATTACATACCACCTCTACGAATCCTCACCATCAGCGCCAAAATGAGAAACATCAAATAGGCACAAATTACCACGTTTATAGCCACTCCATTCATATCAGTACATATTGTGACGTCAATACGTTCATCTTTACTTTTTTAAACGCTAATACCTATCCATTTCCACTGGACTTCCAGAACATCAACATGTCCGATATAATCCATTAAAAGACGAATGGATCTTAGTATCACCTCACCGGTGCAAACGACCTTGGAGCGGACAAACAGAACAACCGGCTGAGGAACAGCAACCAGATTTGAACAATCCCTTGCGAGCTGGTGCTGTCAGGTCTAACGGACAGGTTAGTTTTATATCGCATTTGAGTTGACACGTCAGTAACAAGAGAACTGTTCTGGCTAATGTGCCAACTTATCAATTTAGCTAACTTAGTTTAAATATGTGGACCGAATTTGATGAATTAGGTTTCATTTGATTCAGATTTTAATTAATAAATAGTGTTATAACACGACTGATTTAAATATTCCAGCGTAATCCAAATTATACGTCAACTTATGTGTTCCCGAATGATTTTCCCGCGCTATTGCCGAAAGTTCCAGAACCACCACCACCGGAACATCCGTTGTTCCAAGCTGGACCAGCTAAGGGGACATGCAGGTATGTTTCTATAGATAAATTTGGGATCTTCGGGAATTACTTTTTTTTGCAAAGTGGCAAACGAGCAAACGGACAAGAAACGCTGAAATAACGAAGCGACCGTTACCCGTAGACATCTGCAATTGCAGATGCGTTGCCTACCTTTATTTGACAGACGAGGGAACGTACAGGAAAAGGTTTTATTCCTATACGTCGTCTCCTCCGTCACATCCACTTCCTATAAGAAAAGGGTGGGAAGGGAATGTGGACTAAAAGTCCTTCAGCACACAGAGTATAGTTGTAATGAGTTGTGACTTCATGTATGTTCTTTATGAGTTACGACAATTAAAAACAAACTGAATATTTTTTTGTTACAGGGTGATGTGTTTCCATCCAGACTCTTCAATGACATTACCACTTATGTCCGTGGAAGAAATACTGGCTGTTATAGAGGAGTAAGTTTTTTTTATTTATACCAACTGTCCTGACTGTAAGGAATTAAAAATAAAAAGTAGTCTGTGTTCTTCCAGACTATGTTCTATATGTATGACACATTTCAGTGAGATGTAGCCGTTTTGGAGATACCTTCTAACAAACATACATCTAAACATTCGCATTTATACTTATTAGATTTTTAAAAATAATTTTAGTTACATTTTTATTACAACCTTGGATTGTATTTACGCAGTTTTATTTATGCTTAAATACTTAACTCACTCTTACATGGATATGTCACCTTCAAATCATGAACGTCGCACATTTGTAATTTACCTAGGCTACTTCTACTCAGCATATTTAATATCGAATGAAATCATTCCCAAAATAACATTTGTAGTACAATGGATTCTTATGTTTCCTCTTTATCTTATTAATATTATAAATGCTAATGTTAGATGGATGTTTGTTTGAAGGTATCTCCAGAACGGCTGCATGAATCTTGCTGAAACCTATCATAGATATTGTACAGACCACATAGGCTACTCATTTTTTTTATACCGCGCATAGTCGCAGTATAAACAAAAGCTAGTATGTTTTATTTGCCATAATGTAAAACATATCTCAGATGGATATCACAAGTGACGGAGTTGGGTTGTCGATACACATGGGTGCAGGTGTTTGAGAACAAAGGCGCAGTAATGGGTTGCTCCAATCCACACCCACACTGCCAGATCTGGGCCTCAAGTTTCCTACCCAATGAACCCAGGGTTAAGGATAGGTGAGTTTTTTTTAATTTAAAATATTATATTTTATAATTAATTAAGTTATTAGTATTTTCCGAGCTCAAAACTCAAACTCTCACCAAATATTTCGCAAATATAAAATAGTTTCGTTATTTTCAGATGTCAATTGGATTATTATAAAAAATATGGCAAATCAATGATGGTGGAGTACGTCGAGAAGGAACTGGAACAAAAGGTAAGGATATATTTTTTAAACCGACTTCAAATGAAAGAAACATTGGAGTCGATGTCGGCGTGGATACCGAAATAAAAAAAATATTTACTTTAGTACTGACATTATTTTTTCCGAGAATATTTTTTTGAAGTCGGTTTTTTTTCTTCAATTTTCAACTGATAAATTTCAGTGACAGTGACGTTTTTTTAAATTCCAGGAACGTATTGTACTACAAAATTCAGAATGGGTAGCATTAGTACCATACTGGGCGGCTTGGCCTTACGAAACTATGGTGTTACCACTGAATAACAAGCCACAGAGGATGACAGACTTGAATCCAGAACAGAAGAGAGGATTAGCTGAGATCATGAAGCAATTGACTACGAAATACGATAATCTATTCCAATGCAACTTTCCTTATAGTATGGGATGGCATGGTGAGTGCGGAAACACTAATATAAATAAAAAAAACCTCAATAGATGGCGTTGTTACAAGAACCTAATATGTTGAGGACGCCACAATCGAAACTCCTAGTTTACCAACCTGAACCAAGTGAAGTTTTTTGTTCTTTAAGTACCTAGTATAGTATTGACACTTTCATTAAATGTAAAAATAACTCATAGTAGTCCAAAATGAAACTGAAATATAACAAAATAGAAAGTTCGATTTAAAATGAAGTATAATACTGGGTTTTCATAACCTAAACATTAGTATAAAAATATCATTATTTTAATACATTGGTAGTTTAATTCACGATCAATCAATTTCAGGCGCACCGACAGGACCATCTTCAACACCTGGAGACTCACCCCATTGGTTACTGCACGCTCTCTACCTACCTCCTCTACTGCGCTCCGCTAGCGTGAAGAAATTCATGGTGGGCTATGAAATGTTGGCTCAGCCGCAAAGAGATTTAACACCGGAGCAAGCAGCAGCTAAACTAAGAGAATGTAGTAACGTGCATTATAAGAACAAAAAGGATTAAAACTTATTGTTTTTTTTTCATAATCTCACTTTAACATTATAAATGCGAATGTTTGCATGGATATTTGTTACAAGTTATCTCCAGAACGGTGCAATTTATTATCTGTAATATACAAAACCTCCATCTAAATTAATTTACAAAACATTGATTTATTGTAAAATTCAGATTTAAATTAAAATGTATTAACATTTATTACCTTATCTTTATTAGAAATATCAACAAAGCATAAAAACTCGTAATATACATATTTTACAAATTGTATATCATGCCTTGTCAGTTTATGAAGTATCGAAATTCCCAATCGATGTGTCTTCTTTATTCGAGGCAATTTCCAAACTAATACAATTAATCAGTATCAATTTTAAATATTTCCTGATTTGGACCGATTTCAAAATGTCGAAATTCACAATCTATCTGTAACATGCCATTTCAACTAGATTCTTCGACTTTTGTTTCATCATTTATAAATTCCAGAACTTTCTTTGTTGGTGTTACATTATGTACTCTTTTCTTATGTGTATATAACGTCGCTTTCTGTTTGAATGTCTGTTCGCATATGTTACATGACAATGGTCTGTTGCCAGAATGAATAACTTCGTGTTGTATTAATGATCTTTTATCCTGGAAATAAACCGGTTATAATAAATAAACGACATATAATAAATAAAATTAAAAAAAAAAATTATATTCTTGTAAATTAAAAAAAAACTATTTAAGACGTTTCAAACGAGTCCAAACACAATGAGGTTATATGTCATTGTGACATTTGACATATTCTATAAACTTCTAACTCCATCGTAAGCACAATGTCGTTGAATACATTGCTGCTTTTCTATTATTCAAATATCATAATACACCAATAAAAGTAGCAATGAATACACACAATTTTTTTTTTACATAATGATTTGTTACATTGCGGATTCTGTATGGTCCAAATATATTATTACAAATACGAAACGGGCAATGTATACTTGCAGTGAATCCTTTCCCGCATTGTTGACAGATGTGATTCTTCGGTTTCTCCTTTTTCTCTCCGTGTACTCTTAATAAATGTCTTTCTATGTACGCTTTTGATGCTATAGGCTGGTTACGTTTATAATTAAAAATAAAATTATCCATAAAGTATTTAATAGATTTTTTTAAACTAGCTATAAAAATACAGATTTCAAACAATATTATTTGCTTCTCTGACTACCAGTTTTTTCGTTTAGTCTTTTTGAGGTTATGTTGACATTATTTGAATGTTTTTTTTAATTGTTTTTTTTTTTATAGTAAAAGGTAGATAATGCTTTCGGCTACTTGAATTTATTGATGAAATAATTTGTATAAATTAAATAGAAAGGAATAATTATTTAAACATGTCACAGACTGACGATGACATTTATTGTTTATGGATTTATTTTGTCATGTCAATATTATAAATGCAAATGTTTAAATAGAATGATGAATGGATAGATGTTTGAAGATATCTTCAGAACGGCTGAACGGATCTCGATGAATATAAGAATATAGGCTACTAATTATGTTTTTTTTTAATTTCGCGCGCATGGAATTACGGGTTTCATTCTTTTTATTAAAATTATTTTACCTTATCACAAATAGGACATTTATGCGATGTTTTGCCTAAATGTTGGTAGTTGAAATGATCCTGCATTGCTTCTTGTGTAGGATATCCCTTTTTACACGTAGGACAGGAGAACCTAGGGAATGGTTTATGTTTGAAGTTGATTATACAAAAGTTACTTTAAAAAACGTTTTTTAAGTAAAACAGAACCTTCTAAAAACTTTACAATAAAGGTCTTATACTCTTTTGATTATATTTTTTAATTTTATGACATACAATAATTATTTAAATTTCAGTATGATTTTTTTTAATATATTTTTAAAATGTTTGAACTTAAAGAAATACTTTATGTATTCTTAAATTGTATTAACTGTCAGTATCAACAGTTAAATGTTACTTAATCAAAACCTTAGTTTGAATTTCTTATAATTTGTAGATAACGTGACTATCTTCGAGGGAAATTAAAAAAATCTAGTAATAAATATATTCTATGTCACTCAGTGATAATGTACCTTTCTAATTGTGATAGAATTTTTGATATCAGTTTAGTAGTTTTTGAGTTTATTAGTTACATACATACAAATCTTTATAATCTTACCGTCTTACTAATATCATAAATGCGAAAGCTTAGATGGATGGATGTTTGAAGGTATCTCCAGAACAGCTGAACAGATTTTGTTAAAATTTGCCATACATGAACATAGTCTGGAAGAACACATAGGCTACTTATTAAGTTTATTTTTATTACCACGCGGACGGAATCGCGTGGGACAGCTAGTAATTTATATATCCTATATCACTTAGTGAAAATATAGCTTTTTAATTGTGAAAGTATTTTTTTTAATCAGTAAAGTAGTTTTTGAGTTTATTAGTTACGTACAAAAATGTACATCTAGTATAGTCTATAGCACTTACTTGAGAATCTGATCAGATGCGTGTGCCCTAGAATATTTGAGATGTCCTTGGTAAGTCATCAAAGTTGAGAAAACTTTATTACAATCTATACATTTGTATGTCTGTTTGTTTTCATGTCTTTGTAAATGGTATTTAAATTGTAAAACTCGCACCATTTTGTGACATATGTTACATTCCTGACGTGGTAAGGGACCTTCGTGTAACCTGAAGAAAGATAAGTTAAGTTGCTTCATCACTCCATCGCCATCATTTTTTTATCATAAGGTGGCAAACAAGCGACCTGAAATCGCTGAAATAGCGAAGTGACCGTTGCCCATAGACATACGCGATTGCATATGCGTTGCGTAACTTTAATCGACGGAGAAGATGTACAGAAAGAAAAAAAATTCCCTTTCCATGCATCCTCTTATCCGGAAAGTCCACTTCCACTTCCCATCCTTTACTTATAAGAAGAAGGGTGGGAAGGGAAAGAAGACTAAATAAGGCCTACAGGACGCACACTCATCAGATTGTACGCGGAATTGCTTCTACTTCATTCCTATCTTCTGTGTGGTCGTGGTATTGCACCGGAGGAGACAAATTCGTGCGAAGATGTTAAAGCAGGCTCTGCCACTATCCATTGTTTCCTTTGCCGAAATAGCGTAATTAACGCGATTTGATAATTTAAAAACCCTACTTAAGACACTAGAGAAGAATACGAATCCAAAGACACTTCGCTTGTCAAAATCAGTTCACTCGTTTACGATACAGAATGTTACAAAAAATTAAGTTCAAACGTACGCGGGAAAAAGAATCATCTGTTCAAGGTCAATTAGGTATTGTAGTAATACAGTAAAAGAGAAGTACTGAGCGTCGGTGGCTCAGGGGTTAAGGGCCTGGGTTCGAATCCCGTCATGTACCAATGTGTTATAATACATTTACATATATACATTTATCGTATGTCATTACGATGAAGGAAAACATCGTGATGCTGCACAAATCTGAGAAAGTTAAATGTGTGAAGTCTTGCACTGGACCAGCATTCACTATCACATACTCTCACTTAGGGTTGCCTCCTAAATAAGGGACGTATAGTGAGCTGTTGATGATGTACACAGTAATCTTATTAATGAAGTCAGTGAAATCAATGAACTATATTTAGTACATGTTTGTAACATTTGAAGATAATACCTTAAATGTCCTATTAAAGTTGTTCTATTGACGAATTTCTTCTGACAATGATCGCACTGAAGACGTTCTCTGTGATGCCTGTCCATGTGAGATTTACGATAACGTGTGTGCCTATAAAAATATCATCATCTTTTAACTGCCCACTGCTTAGCAATCCTTTACCAATACCTCCTACAGTTAAAAATAATCACTAATTAGTCAAATGGCCGAGTTCCGAAATAAAAAAGGTCCAAATTAAGTTTCCCGGGTGACTTCTTCCCAAGTATCCTATGTCTGTTTAGTAGTCAAATATAGCTAAATCTATTCCAACTATCCTATGTCTGTTTGGTAGTCAAATATAGCTAAATCTATTCCAACTATCCTATGTCTGTTTGGTAGTCAAATATAGCTAAATCTATTCCAACTATCCTATGTCTGATTGGTAGTCAAATATAGCTAAATCTATTCCAACTATCCTATGTCTGTTTGGTAGTCAAATATAGCTAATTCTATCCCAACTATCCTATGTCTGTTTGGTAGTCAAATATAGCTAATTCTATCCCAACTATCCTATGTCTGTTTGGTAGTCAAATATAGCTAATTCTATCCCAACTATCCTAATTCTGTTTGATAGACAAATATAGCTAAATCTATCCCAACTATTCTATTTCTGTTCGATAGTGATAATAGCGAGTTCAATCCGAAGTAGAATTAAGTATTATTTTTAGAGAAAATAAGTATTATAACACTTACTCAAAGTGCATATCACAGTAGAGACATTTGTAGCCAGATTTTGTCTTTGACAAGAGTTTTCTCAACATTTTAGCCTCTTCATTGACCTGTTGCCCTTCTTTATTCTGTTTCTTTCTAC